TATTTATTTATTTGACAGAGAGAGACACAGCGAGAGAGGGAACACAAGCAGGGGGAGTGGGAGAGGGAGAAGCAGGCTTCCCGCGGAGCAGGGAGCCCAACACAGGGCTCGATCCCAGGACCCTGGGACCATGACCCGAGCCGAAGGCAGACACCCAACTGACTGAGCCACCCAGGTGCCCCTCCCTCTCTCTTCTTTCTTTCCCTAATTTTTCTTCATTATTTCCTCTCTGTCTCTTACACTCACCCCCCTCCCACATCCCGACTCCTTCCAAAGCTTGCAGGCTGCTTAGGCTGGGGCTGATTGCTCTGTGCCAGGAGAAGGGAGAATCAGAGAGAGGACACATGCTCAAGTCTGGAAGCTGGGTCTTTATTGAGGTTTACTGAGGACTCTGTGAGCTGGAGGAAACTTCTTCGGTGTGAGGGATGTGGTGGGGCCTCAGCAGAGACCAGAGGCAGCTCCGGAGTAAGTGGCACAGAGAGCCTGCTCAGATCTGGCTCCAGATTTCCCCTCGGGCTGGCCTAGGCTCCATCCAGGCTTAATTCTGCTTCAGGACCTCATTGATCCAGGACCGGTAGTGGAGGTTCGGGTGAAGACAGCAGGGGGCTTTGCATTATCCTGTCCATAGGAGACAATGCCCTGGGCCACCCCAGCACACAGAAGAGGGCCCCCTGAATCTCCCTGTGGGAGAGAGAGAGAGCGAGCGAGCACAGAAGGTGAGCAGGGAAGTCATCCACTCCTGCCTGTGGGTCCCAGTTCTGAGTCACAGAGAGACCTCCGGTCAGACCCAGCAGCCCTGGCTTCTCATGAGGTTATACATCTTGGTATGATGCCCCTTTCCCTTTCCTTCTTGCTACCCCTTGTGTGCTGGGCAGCAGCCTGGGAGGGATGGTCAGAGACTGCATGGTGGGGAGGGGGGGATAGATCTGCAGAGGGGCAATTCCAGTTCCTTAGGCCTATGATCTGAAACCCTGCTGCTGGCTGACAGTCTTCCCACCCCATCTCCTTCCAGGAGACATCCTAGAACCCAAACAGAGATTTGTGGAAAAGAACCCATGTCGGAGGGTCACCTTAAATGCAGTTTTTGTCTTCCTGGGATTGCCAACACACAGCTGGGGGTTGTGGTCAAAAGCTAGGTAGTGTCTACAGGCTTGGGGATCCATGAGCCTCAGCTTCACCTCTTGCAGAGTGTCAGAGCCTGCTCCATTCACTTGTCTTCTTCCCCAGCCAGCCACCCGGCACATTCTCCAGGGTGGGATGAAGTTGAACTGGGGTGGAAGGGGGAGTGTCCCCACGGCCAGGGTCAGGTTGGCTTTCTCCTTCAACTGTGAAGGGCATGAAGGGCTGTCAGTGCTAGAAAGGGGTGACGGGGTATCACCGCTTTGGGTGGAAATTTCCTTTGGAGGACATCAGGGGAGGACAGGGCAAACTGTTTCACATTAGAACTACACCCAGTGGGGTGACTTGGTGAGGTTGGAGTCCAGAGGCAGGTTGGGGAAATTTCAGGGCAATGGGGACCTGAAGGAGAAAACTAAGAGAACAGGAAGTGGAGAAGGGGGAAAAAGAAGTTATCACCTTCAGTAGCATTATGTCATGGCGAATAGTAAAGTCATCGTATTTTGGGTGAGGGAATTGTTTTATGACCTCAAGCTTCTGCCACGTGTCTTCTTTCTTTCGTATGTTATGGGCTCCAAGGGTGACCATTATGAACCTGTGGTGAGGGAGAAGGAAAGACAAGGAGAGACAGTGATGGTCTACTGTCTCCTGGGATGTGCCCACTCTGAGGAAAGGGAACTGGAGTCTATCATGGGGGTTACTGGACTCTACCCACCCCCCTTTTCCTGGGCTACTTGTGGCATTTGGGAGCTCAGGTTTCACTCGGGGAACAGGGACATTTCCAGGACCCTCGGGAATTGCTGGGGACTGGGCCGGCCATGGAGGATCCAAGGGACAGGGTTAGCTCTTGCTAATTCAGGGAGCCCTATATGAGGGCCAGCCCTCCGGAGCAAGAGATACCAGAGGAAAGGGGGAGGTGGTGGCGTCCCTGGTAGACCCTGTTCTTTGCCTCCCATGGAAAGGATGGGTCAAGTCCCTGAGAACTAAAGGCCAGTGTTCTTGGAAAGGGCAGAGAGGAAGTGGCCTGGAAAACTGGGTGGGCCCCTGAAAGTCACATATATCATAGGTTGGGGTCGGGGAGAGGGAAGCTACTTTTAAAGGAAGGACACTTGGGTAGGGCCTCCTTTTTCCTTGGTAGATTGCTGAGCTCACAGTGATCGAAGATCAGGGCATCCATCAACTATGGGCCCAATTTCCTTAAATTCAAGTCTTGCTTCTCCCAGGCCCGGGACCCCTCCTCAGGCCACCAAGCATGTGTCCCTGGCTGCTATGCTGGCTGTTTATCTCCTTTCTGGAGATAAACAGGACCCTGTTGTGTCACCTTCCTGCACAGTGAGCCGCTGTCAGCACGAAGTTCCATCTTATCAGGAAACCACCACAAGACATCAGGTGATTCTGGGGAGTGATGATTTCCAGGTGGGCCATGTAAGGGCGGGAGTGTGGCTTGCACTCTGTGCCCCCGATGATCTCCCCTGGAACAGAGAACCCCCAGGGCCTGAACACGGAGAAACCATAGGCTGGGCTGAAGTTGGGAATCTCATCCTCACTCTGTACTCCCCCCGTCGCCCCCTCTGGTATCTGGTCTCCCCACCCACAACCTCCCATATAAATTCTCGTTCCTTCTTCCAGGTCTAACAGCCCAATCTGGCCGCAGATGCATTCAGGCATTTTTCACCCCGGATTTCCACCGCTCCCATACTGCCCGTGCCTTAATGCTCCTTTGTGACCACGCAGGGCAGGCTCTCCAGGTTCCTGGCTTGACCTTCTCCACAGGTCGTGAGCAGCATCACAGAATGGCCACATTACACGGTAAAATGTAGCCCCGAAGCTCAGAGGATGAAGGGAACATAGGCCCTTCTACTCAGTACCTCACATTATAGCATGAGAAGATGCCCCTCTTCCTCCCACCTGTTGTGGGCTTTCCCTGGTCACTGGGGTTCCTTGTCCCCTGGGGAACTCCCAGAGGCTGCAGAGACTGGGTGGGCGCATCCCAAGTGGAATTCACTCTGGATTCCTGCAGAGAGATCCTGCGACCTTGTTTAAGAGTCAGCTATATTCAGACTAAACTTGTTTTGGGGGCTGATCCTGCCGCTTCCAGAGGGAAGGACCGCAAGACTCAGCAGCTTGAGCTCTGCACCATAGGAGGAGGAGTAGCAGGGTGAGAGGGAGACTGTGCATCTTCTCAGGGAGGCTGCCCCGGGCAGATGCTGCTTCTCTTTTCCGGTCTTGGGTTTTATAACTCCAGCAATGAGCGAAGGGCTGGGCTGGTCACCACAGGAACTGCGTGGTCATGGTTTCTTCTCCCATCCTCAGCCGGCAGTCTGAGCTTTCAACCGTGGTGCCTTATCTGGGGAGCGGGGGTGGAGGGATCATGTCTTTCCCAGGTAGGGCAGTTTGTTAAAGCCTCTTCAGAAACATGGGTTGGGAGAGTCCTTACGCAGAGCATCCAGAAACATATGCACTTTTATGGCCCACAGTAGGAAATGCATTTTGCAGAAGGACCCAATGCACATATACGTGTGCGTGAATACACGAGCACAAACACACACATACAACAATCAGAAGTTTCAGGAAACAGTATTTATCCTGGTCACGGGCAGTACTTTCAGTTTCTAGTCTATTCCGTTCCACTCCATATTAAAATATGAACAGCACCCCACTTAAAGGATAATTACCTGCAGTTTGAAAACCATTGATCTGGATCTCTTATTGGCAGAAGATCCACGGAGAGTAGATGTGGGAAGGGAACAAACCCTACGGTGGGACTTTACATACATTATCACAAGAGCAATTGGGATTGGAATTCGCATTTTTTGAGACAGCCCATGCATCATTTATTGTCCCAACTCTTAGATATATTTGCATGATGACCCTGTGAAGTAGGTATTACTAGCTCAGTTTTATGGATTGGCTATTGAGGCTTATGGTTCAGAAATAGATTTTCCTGATTCCAAATCAAGGGCCCTCTCTGCTCTACCACTGCAGAGAAACAGAGAAATGGAGGCCCACTAATGGGGATGTAGATGGAATCCTGTCCTGTGGGCCTTCCCCAGTTGGACCCAAAATGGGAGGAGTAAACAAATGAAGCATTTCTAGTTTTCACTCATGTGTGAGAAGTTGAGAGGTAGGTAGTCCAGGGCTAGGGTGGTAGTCCACAGCATCATTAAGGCTCAGGTTCACCAACATCCAGTTTTGTTTCACCTGTACTGGAGGAGGGCAAGAGAATGAAATAGGTACAGCTCTGGTCAGGGGCCAGTTTTGGAAATAAAGAGGGCACTCTCTGTCCACATTTTCTTCCTTGCTCTTTCATGTGTGCATTTGCACATTTGAACCGATTTCCTTTTTCTCTGTCCTCTGCCTTCCTTCTGCTATTTTATATATAGGATGCTGTTGGTGGTGAACCTTCGCTTTAGTCCACAGTTTATAGGATATCAGCTTGGGGATCTGACTAAATTAGAGGTGGAATGGATATCACCTGGAGATCCTGTACTTGAAGCTGAAAGCAGTAAGTGCTGAGACTGGCTTATTTCAGTTCTGGGGAGAGTCGAACCTCATTTTCCTTTGTACAAGAGATAGTGAGGATTACGTTCAATGAGGGCACTTTTGTTTTAGGAAGGTTACTTATGGAGAAGGAGTGTGCGTTCATGTTGGGCAGCCAAGTGATGGACTGTGGTGGACATTTGCCATGTATGTGATGGGTCCTTAGTGTCTTTTGAACACTTTTCCTATATCAGGGGAATTCCCAACCATGATTCTTGCTTTCCTAAGGTGGAATCCGTAAACTTCCTTTCTCAAATTCTCTTGCATCTAGGCCACAATCTTGTGACTGAGACTCTGCCAATCAGATGGGTAGGTGTACAATTTGATTTAGAAGGTGCAACCTGAGGGAGTAGGCACCATGTGGAATTACCTTTTCTAGTGAGGGTGAGTGGCCGAGGGGTCTGGTTTTGGGGGAAAAATTAGTTATGGTTCAGATGTCTGGTGCTGCCTGTGTATAGGGTCTGGGCCAAGCCTATGGGCTGTGAGGCCTTTGTTGACCAATCCTGCGGGGTAGTTCAACATTGTTTCTGGCTACATGGCCTCCATATCTGATTTCACAGCATCTGAGGAAGATACTGACTCTGTATAAGGAAGAATTTACTAATAATCTGTTGTTACAACATGAATGTGCGGGGAGGGGAGTTAAGTGATTTCCCCATTGCTGAAAATAATAAACAGAGGTTGGACAGTCTCGTTTAAGATTCACAGTTAGTGGGAAGGAAAGGGTTGGGCCTGATATAAAAGCATGGCATTTAATGACGGCGGCATTCCTTGGCCACGATGAGGCTGACCAAGGGGTCATCCCTTCTCTGAGTTCCTGAAACATTTATCATCTGCGCCGTGGTTCACTTTGACATTCAAGGTATGCAGCCGGCTTTGCAGTTTGACGGGAGGGCTTGAATCCTGCTTCTGCCACTTAATGATCTGTCCGACCTTAGCAAAGTCCCTTAAGTTCTCAGCCTTAGTATGGCCTCTGTAAAATACGAAGAATGAGGTGAAACAGGGCTTTCAGAGAATTAAATATGGTAGTAAATGAAAAACTCCACAGGGCTGGTCCTTAAGAAATATCGATTTTGGGGCGCCTGGGTGGCTCAGTTGGTTAAGC